GAGGACAACCAGACGTCGCAGAAGATTGCGCAGAACCAAAGATACCCCGGAAGGATATACGTGCAGCCCCAATGGGTTTGGGACTGTGTCAACAACGAGGAGCTCGAGAGTCCGGAGCTGTATGCTCCCGGTGCGGGTCTTCCCCCCCATCTCAGCCCCTTCGTCAAGACCGCCAATGGACAGTACGACCCGACCCTTCCGCTGGATGCCCAGGAGACTGAGGCTGAGGCTCTGGACTCCAAAATGGAGGATGACGCCGAAAACGCAAATGATGAGGAGCAGGAGCAGAGCGATGAGGATGTCGCGAACGACATGGATGTCGACTCGGCGAATGACGATGAGAGCGAGGTGAGCGAGGTGGATGCGGAGGAGTTTGGTGGAGTCTCAGACGATGACGTTGAGGAAGACGAGGAGGAGGCTGCGATACTGCAGCGCCAACGCGAGGTCGAGGCCGAGCTGTCTGGCAAGTCGGTGAAGAGCAAGTCGGCGGATGCCAAGACCAAGTCAAAATTGGAGCAGAAGAAGGTGCTGGAGAAGAAGGCACGCGAGGAGGCCGAGGACCTGGAGCGGGCGAAGGGAATGCTGAGCAAGAAGAAGCGCAAGCTGTTTGAGCAGATGCAGTATAGCAACAAGAAGAAGAGCACCGAGGATACGATGCTGCGGGCGAAACGGAGGAAGCTAGAAAAGGAGCAGAAGAAGGCGAGGGCGACGTTGGCGTAGATTTTCTAATCTCTTTGAGCTGTCTGATGTAATGAGATACCAATTAGGCTGTTGCTCATTCTGAACTGCAGATGGCCGCAGTGTAGGTAGGGAGGTCTTACGCTGAATCCGTGTCTTGAATCTAAGGTATCTTAGCTTTTTGAATTCATCTCTCTCCGAATGATCAAGTGTGAGTGTCTGGGCTTGCTTCAAAACTGTAACTTGGGAAGCTTCTAGGGTTAGGGGCTATACCAAACGCAAATACTTTTACTTCCTCTTTTATTTGCACTGCTGTATAAGTCGAACGGGTGGCGGAAGGTGTGAACCGACTCATCCCAGCCTCGACAAATTTTTGGCAAACTGATTGCCACATCAATTCCTCCCACTTAGACAACCATCAGCACAACACCCCATTTTTCGAACTTCAGAAATACTCTCCCCAAAATGGAAGCCCCCCACATCGTAGAGCCCAGCGACGGCAACAATAACAATAACAACAACCAAGACGAGGAGGAAGAATGGGACAAGAACACGGACGACATCAACTCGATCGCGTCGGACGAGCTACGCGAGACCCGCCCCAACCGCTGGCGCGGCCACCCCCAGACGTGGCGCAACTTCACCGAGGCCGACCGCGAGGCGTGGGCCATGCTTGAGGGCGTGCGGCAGCAGGATCTGGCGGTGCATTTGTACAATGCGTTTAAGCTGCGGGGGGCGTATCAGGATGAGAATGTGAGTTTTTCTTTTTCTTTTTCCGAGGCGGGGGGGGAGGTGGTAGGAAGGCTAATCTGGTGCGATAGGACGGCGAGGGGTGGGAGCCCCCCAAGAACTGGACGGCGTGGCCGATGAGGGCGGATGAGGTGCCGGATGATGGGTTGATGGTGGTGGATGAGGCGGATGAAGAGGGGGAGGAGGAGACGCTGCGCGGGCCGGGGAAGGGGTTTCCAGGGAGTCATTTGGAGGAGGAGATTTCGGCTACGGTGCTACGCTTTGCGAAGGAGAGGTTTTTGAAGAGAGGGTTGGGGGTGGTGAAGTCGGTTGAGACGAATGGTGAGGACGATGGGGATCTTGATGTCGAGGAGGATGAAGAGGATGCTGAAGAGGATGAAGAGGACGACGAAGAGGATGACGAAGAGGGTGATGAAGAGGACGACGAAGGGGACGACGATGAAGAGGTAGATGAAGAGGTCGATGAAGAGGAGGACGATGAAGACGTTGATAAGGTGGGCGGTGCGGGACCGCCGCAACGGGGACGGAAGAGAGCTGCATCGCCAGAATTTTTTCCGGTTGTGTCCGCCAATGACGAGCTTTCGTACTCACTCATGCGTCCAGCGGTTCGGCAGATCTTGGAGAAGCTCGACCACACTCTTACGATATTACACAACTCCCGAGTAAACTCGCTCCATCAACCTAACGACCCATCTGACTCGGATGCGGACAGCGAAGACGACACAGATTTCAGAACGCCCACACCAAAGAGAGGAAGACCACGATCTCAACAAAACCAAGAACAGAGACAGGAAAGCACAGGTTCGCCAAAAAGAGGAGGTGGACGGCCGAAAAAGTCGCAGGTCCAACGAGAAGGCGAGACAGAGCTTGAGTTTGAGGTCAGGGTCGCCAGGGAAAATAAGAGGAGGCTCCCTGACTCTTACGTGGGGCAGACACAGACCGAGGATGAAGAGACGCCATGGGAAGAGAAGAAAAAATCAAGGCGCATGCAGAGACTAGAAAGGTCAAAGTCAAGAAGGTCGAGGTCGGAGAGGACTGGCTCGCTCCCAACATCGAGATCCAGATCCAGGCCGAGATCGAGATCAAAGTCCGCCGGTCCCTATACCCAACAGCGCGAAGAGGATAGAATAGCTGTGTACGCCTTGAGAGACTGGCGTGACGTGTTGAGCTCCGCTGCCTTGGCCGGGTTTCCAGCCACAGTCCTCGATCGCGCCGCACAGCGATGTGCTTTACTTTTTGGTCAGAAGATGACACTTCTCACCATTCCAAGGGAGCCAGCCGGGCCGGGCATGACAGGCGTGGAGGCTACGACATATTTTCCAGGACCTATCTCGTCGGACGAAGTGGATGATGACTATGAGGGGGGCGACTCAGAGAGCGGCCCGGGCGATGAATTGGACGATAGCGAAATGGAACGGAATCGCGTTGTCAGTTGCCAGCCGAGCGCCCATGATACCAGTCCGGCGGGCAATACCATCACGCCGAAGCGGGTCAAAATGGGTATCACAGCACAAGGCAAACGGATATATCTATGCACGCATAAAGACTGCCCCAGGTCTGTCGATGGGTTCGGTCGGCCGACCAACCTTGTTAGGCACTTGCAGTCGATGCATGGACGCGGAGGCAGGGTGCAAGACGCCAGACTAAATCAAGAGGAGGATAGACCGGCCCCCACGGCACGGAGCATGACGGCCACTCCGAGCGAAATGGGATTTTTATGTATCTGGCCGGGTTGCGAAAGAGCTGTGAAAGGGTTCGGCAGGCGGACCAATCTTGTTAGGCACATGCAGCTGGTGCATGGGCTGAGTGAACGCGACATTGTGATAGATCAAGATCAAGAAGAAAATAATAGCATGGACGAGATGGATGAAGGAATCCACCGGGATGGCTTTCTGAAGCCCATCAAGATCAGGAAGGGGTGGCGTGTCGCGGGCAAGTTCCGATCCAGAAGGGATGAAAACCGCCAGCGGCAGGTGGAAGAAGACAGCCGGTCAGACAACGACGGCGACGAGTCGATGGAATTGTCAGATACAGGTGAGCAGGATAGAGCAGAGTAGCCTTCAGAATATCAACTCCCTCATTCCCCCTTTTCCTTGGCGGCAAACTGTCGATCCACCTCATCCGCAAACTCCCCAATCGTGTCAAACTTCCACTCAAACCCCAGCTTCCCCTCGTCGGTCAACTTGCCCAAATCCCCCCCCGTGCCGTAGTTGCCCTCCTGATCGCCGCCCCGCGAAATCCAGACGCTCCGGAACCCAAGCTCCTTGGCCGGGACGTGGTCCGCCGTCAGGCTCCGCGCGACATGCAGCAGCTCGCCCCGGTCAAAGTCGACGTCGAGGTCCGCCCGCGCGTGCGAGAAGAGGTACCGGAAGTTGGCGTGGCTCGGCTTGTACGCGCCGATCGCCTCGGCCGTGTAGACGGCGTCGAACTGCGCCGGGGCGAGGCTCGTGCCGATGCACGACGTGATGTTGGCGTTGTTGACGTTGCTGAGGATTATGAGTTTGAAGTGCTTCCGCAGGCGGACTGCGGGCGGATGGTGGTTAGTTTGGGGGGGGAGGGGGACAAAAGGAGGGGGGGGGGGGGGGGGGGGAATACGTAGGCCCGAGATGGTGTCGGGGAAGGCGGGCCAGCGGCCGGGACCTGTTGCGATTTTGGTTACTGCGGCGGAGAGGGAGGGGGTCGGGGCCAGGGAGAGTTCGGAGGCTAGTTGGACGAGGGAGGCGGAGAGGGTGGCGGGGTAGAGTTGGGTTGGGTTGGTCTCTTCGAGGTGTTCCGAGATGGCGTTGAAGCGCTCCAGCGCGAGGGCGGGGGAGGTGGCCCAGGGGTGGGAGGGGGGTAGTTGGGCGAGGAGGGGGGTGAAGTCGGTTAGGAGGCCGGATTCCCAGTCGATCAGGGTGCCGTAGCAGTCGAAGGAGAGGGCTTTGAACGGGGTTAGGTCGGGGTTTGCCATTTTGGGGAAAGGGGTTCACAGGATGAGAATTGCTGGGCAGGTTTCAATTGTCTACTTTTTGGATGTTGATAAAAGTCTCTCGGGATGTATTTATACGCAAGTGAGCCAAGCAGCCCGTGGTGTCGCTGCCCCTATCGTCATCTGTCAGCGAGTGTGGGGTTTGTCCCAATGCCGTCTCTCGAGTCTCATCCTTCCACGATCGGAAAGTCGACTGTGGCAGTGTGTTACAGGAGGGGGATCTGGCCGATGTTACGAGTGTGGGGATATGTTCTCGGGAGGGCGTCGTGCACAGTGCCACCGATCGACTTGTCTTCAGCATCGGTAAAGTGACTCTATCGGCCAGCAAACCTGTTCACGTATATCGTTGTGATCACGTCTTTTGAGGTGGGTTTCCTATGGACACCTCGGACTCAATGATCGGAACATGACCAATTCATTCAGCTAAGCTTTCAGATTTCTGTCATTGACACCCCCTTTCAAGTCCAGCATCCACAGTGATGAGGTCCCGCACCCGGCCAAGCCAGGCAAAATACAAACCCTGCCACCCCGTCCTGCACGATGAGCCCACCACTGCAACCCTGATAGGCTCACATCCTCAGAGGAACCGGCATCAAACAGCCCAGGCAACTTGGCCGAGCGGTCTAAGGCGCCACGTTAAGGAGTACACCCTTAATACAATCTCAGGATTCCGTGGTCCGAAAGGGCGTGAGTTCGAATCTCACAGTTGTCATCACTGGCTTCCCAGCTCAGGAGGTTTCATTTTTGTGGTATCCTGAATGCGCACATTCTCTAAATTTTTGTCAGTTGCAAATTCGGAGATTTTCTTGGTGGGCCTGTCATGTGGAGCACGCGCCACTAGTCACATTGACCGAGAACATCCAAAGCGCACAGCCACAAGCTGGTCTGGGTGAGATAACCCGCACCTCGAGTTTCTTGTGAAACATGCTCTTATTTCCGCAGGTGTTCTATTTTCTATTATGCTGTGAAACCTTGAGCCATTCATTCTCATCATCCAGGGTCTCTTCGTGAAGGAAAGATTACAGTTACCAGCTCACAAGGAATATCCTACAGGTAAAAAGGAGTGTGCTGAACACCCAATTTACACAGACTCGCATTCATAAGCTGGTGTATACAGACTTGAATACATCAACATGATCAACATCAACAAAGATGAATGCCTCGGTATTAAAAATCTCACAACTCCCATCAGGGGTATCAGTGCTCAATAAGAGTACAGTGTAAACACAGACCGCCTCCCAAGCCGTCTTGCTAACCGGCCACTCCAAACTCCAATAACCATATACAACGCCGAACTCAAACTCCAAGCTGAACACAGCCAACTTCTAGACAATGATTATCCTTCTTATTACTGCAACCGCGGACTCTTCCTCCTCGACGAACTTTGTGAAAACGCCGGGGGCGGCAGATTCTCCAGTCCCGAAGCCACCGCACTGATGGGCTTCTTCTTGGCTAGTCGCGTGATCCTCGTGCTCCGCTTCGTAAGCGGCACCGTGTTCTCGTTCGCTGCCGGCACCGACATGGTACTAGCTGTTGGATCGAACATGATTGAGCCCGTTGTCACATTCGGGTTGACCTCACGCAGACTCATAGCCCTTGCGGTCCTGGTGGGCTCCGCTTGCCCAGACTCGCTGGATAGCCGGGGCGGTGATCTCGGGGACGGCGAGTAACTCAAGTCCACAAACACCGCCGAAGCCGAGGCTGGCTTGCTTGGTGTTGGCGTGTCGCGCATGTCCGCAAGAATGGCCTCGTGTGCGACTGTGCGGGGAAGCTCCGTCGGGTACTGGTATTGAACCTTCTCTGGAGTCTCCCCTGTCGGCTCGTACTCCTGGAGCACCGTCATCTTGATGTCCTCCCGGAGGCTATTTAGTGGCTCGCAGACAATCTCGTCAAGCGGCTCCAGGCCGTCTTGGACATCTCTGGCCCCTGTTTCCACCTCATCACCAACATCCCTGATCCTGTCAAACGTCTCCTTGAAGTGGTCAGAAATCTTGGAAAACGACTTCTCTACCGTTCCCGACAGAGCGCGGACTGATCCAGCATGCTGTTCGTGATGCTCCGCGTTTTGCGACTTGGCCCGTGATACAAACTCGTCCAAGTCCTTCATTTGAACATCAAGATCCCTCATCTGCTCGTCGACTACCCGGACAGTCTCAGCGTTAACAGACTTGGTCGTGTTCTGAATCGAGCTACTGTGCTTATTCGCCGTCTGCAACACCATTAGCAAGAGTCGACAATTATGAGAAAACATGCAACGTACCGTCCAATCGTTCTTCAACTTAATCTTCATCGCATCCCTCGACTTGGCAACAACATCGAGTAGCTCGCTGTCCTTGACGTTCCATGTGTCCATGCCCTCCGAATATTGGGCAACGTCCTCCTCAAATGCGTTGTTCGCGTCCATAATTGTTTCCTGTATTAATGATGTCTTGCCTGCAAGGCGGTTTTGCTGCGTCTCTGCCTGCGAGTTGATGAGAGAAGTGATTTGTGTGAGAAGAGTTTGGCGCTCTACAGTGGCTTGTTTGCGCTCCTCGTCAAGCACTTCCTGGATCCTAGCAGACACTGAGGCATTGGACTGCACAATTGTCTCACTTGCACCCTCTAGTTGCTGTCTGAGCAGGTCCGACTCAGCCTTCTGGGCGCTGATGTGCCGGAGCAGCTCTTCAAATAGCGACTTGAAGTCCTTTCCGAGAGAGGCGTACGACCCATGCAGTTGGCTGTGAAATGTGCTGAGCTCGCTGAGGACATCTCCTGCTATGCGTTCTGCCGCAGTCGCAATTGCCTGGAGACTTTCTCCAACACGCTGCTTTACGTTGTCCCTCACAACCTTGATTTCTTCCAGCACACCATCCATCTCCTCCTTCGATGCTTGTTTTTGCTCCAGCAGCTGGTTTTTGGATTCAGAAAACTGGGCCAAGTTTTCGTCTAGGAAAGATTGGGTGGAAGATAGCTTTTGAAGTTCACCTTGCACAAACGACTGCATTCGCTCCGAGATGCTGGAAATGTGCTCCTCCTGGTCCTTGCGAAACGCCTCAATCCGGCTTTCGACAAGCTCGGTCACGCCAGAAACCTGAGCCTGTGACATGCTCCACGTACTTCTGTTCAGGCTCTGGAGGTCCGACTTGCGCTTGTTCTTCGCGCGAAGCCCATCCACATGATTGACCGTCGTCTTAATCGTGGTAATCAGCTCACCACCAACGGCAGTAAGCTTCTCCTCGGTCTCCTGGTGGGCTTTGCGGATAAGGGTCTCCTCCGCTAGTGTCTTCCTGGTGGCGGCCAGTACCAACTCTGTCTGGTCGAGGACCTCCTTGGTCTCGTCGAGTAGTGCTCGGGTTACTTCGTGCTCCTTCTTGAGTCCCATGAAGCTTGATGTCAGGGAAAATAGTTCCTGCACTTTGTTTCGAAGATTGTTTTCGAGCGTCTCGATCTTGGCTGCCTGCTCCTCTGTGAGAATGCGGCGGGACTCATTCTGCGCTGTGATTTCCTCGTAGTTCTCGTTGGACAGGTAAACACCGTTGCGCTGCCGAGTGGCAATGAGCTCACTTTTGAGCCTTTCAATTTCGCTGGTGAAGTCTCGCAGTAGGGTCCTCCTGTTGATTAGCGCGTTGACTTGGGGCTTGTTTCGGATGTTCTTGGCTCGGAAGGCGTAGTCTAGTGTGGAAATGGTTTCTTCAAGATTGCTTTTGGCTGGAGATACTGTCGCAATGATGCATGTCTTGGTTCGCCCACCGAGGGAGTCTTGGAGGAGGCGCGTGAGCTTCGACTCTCTGTAGGGGATGTGAGAGCTGCGGTCAACCAAGGCGTTAATGACACGCCCAAGGGTCAGCAGACTCTTGTTGATCAGACCGGCTTCGGCAGCACGCTTGTTCTCGGCACCGGAGCGCTGAATGTTTTCACTTCCAGCAAGATCAACCAGGTTGAGCTTTCCTGCCATGAGATACTCGTCACCAGCCTCGGTCTGTCGCTTAGCATGAACCGTGATGGTAAAGACAGTATGACTTCGACTGCTCAGGTCATTGCACTTTGTTGCGGCAACCTGGCGCCTCAAGCTGCCCTCTTGGAGCCACTTGAGACCGTCGGTGGCAGATGTGATGTGTCGCTCCTCCATTCCCTGAACGACCGTGGTAGCGTGGCCTTTGCGAGAGTTGTCGTCGTAGATCTTGAGCTTGGCACTCTCGTCCGGTGACAAAAGATCCCGTAGCTCCTCGTTGTAAAGCTCGATAAAAGAACAGCGGACGCAATTGTCTGTCTCATCAACATCTAACTTATTAAACAGGGCGTGGAGCACGCGAGGGATGATTCCAGCTTCGTCTGATAGCAGGCCCAAGGTGGAACTCATGTCACCGGACATGGTGTATGTCTTGCCGGTACCTGTCTGCCCATAGGCAAAGATGGTGCAGTTGTAACCCGCCAGCATCTAGGCAAGATTAGCAGTGGATCTCGCGAGTGTTTGACACGGCTTACCTCGTCCAAAATGGGCTTAACCACATCGTCAAATATGATGCTCTGGTCTGCGGCCTGGGAGAAGACGCGGTCGAAGTTGTACGTCTTGTTGCTGAGAGCTGTAGGCCCCATAGAAAGCTCTACCAGCTTCCCCTTCGCGCCTTCTGTACTGACAACGACCGCGCTGTTTTCCCGCACCTCGCGCTCGTTGCGCCCGCGACACCTCACGACGACATTGATGTTGGTTGTCTCGCCCTCGTCACCCTCGAATTCGCGTTCCTTGCGCTTCATGCCTGTCGTTGCTGTTGTGGCGACCGACATGAGGGACTCGGCAGGTGAACTCGCGCCTGCTCGATCGATGCGCGATGCCATTGAAGTGTTTCTCGTGTATCCCTGCCTGCTCGGTACATTTCTGGTCGGGGGGCGGATGCTGGAACGCGTGCCGGTGCCAGTTCGACCCGGCGGCGCCATTGATGTGTTTCTGCGCTCCATGGCGGAGCTGTCCCGCGTCGCCCTCAACAAGTATTATGGTGAACAGAAACAGTGGACAGCGGATAAATGGTGGTAGAGGAGACCGGGGGAGAGTGTCGGGTCAGTTCCAAAATTCAATGCGAAGAAAGGCCGAGGTAGGTGGTGTGCCTCTTTGGTTGCAAATCGCTGCAAATACTGCAGACTCAGGCAGGGTTGGTGGAGTGTCAGTGCTGTGGTGGAAATACCCTAGCACGGCGGGGATTTTTGCCGGGGGTTGGTAGGCGCGACATAAACACCACGTCGAGTGTATTGCTGGAGCAACGGACCCACTCACCTAGCCTACCGATAACGATAACGTTAGCTAGACGCGGAACGCCGTCCGCGCATGGACCCGCTGTGCCCTCACAGACTGTACCCCTCATTCCTCCATTTTGCCTGCCGCGGAATGACGTCTCGTTACCTTAGGTACCTGCCACCTGCACAGCTCACCTGTCACTGCTGTTGGGGCTGTTGGGGGATCACGAGGAACAGCCCCTTGGTTGAGCTCCGACACTTCCCCTTTGCACTCCTGCCTTTGTCTTCGAGCGTTTAATTTGGTTTGACACTTGGCCCTTAGAAACTTCAGCCCTGCTACCAAGAAATTCTATCCAAATCATATTTCAAGCCCACCCCTGCTCGTTCCGGAGTACAATCCTCCAACTGTGAACGGCAGCCTTCCTCCTCGTACCCCGCAGGCGAGCCCGCTACCTACTATCGGTGGGCGCCCTGAAGCAATCACCATGTCGCTCTTCTCAGCGC